CTCCCAATGACATTTAAAATACCCGACAGTGTTAAGAAACTCTGCACAACATAACAACAGGCGGTAAAGGAACAGCCGCTATGCAGGCCTTCTTGACCAATGATACACCCCCACCACCACCAGGGCCATTACCACAAACACTCGTCCACCGCCGCCGCCCACGAACCGCCCACACGACATATGGCGGACCTCAACTAACTCAGAATTAATAACTAGTCCAATACCCCCTCGGTCTCGGTGTTTTGAAGTCTGTCGGGAGTCAACAAAAGCCGGATCTTCACTACAACTACAGCTTTTATCTTTTTATTTAACAAATACTAAAAATTTCAAGGACGTCCACTGCCCCGTTAGCATCCTAGTCACTCCTTACACGAATTCTATAACACTAACCTGAGAATAATGACATCCTACTTTAAATCTCTCAAGAGCTTCTAAGAATGAATAGACCTCTGGAATCCTTTTAATATCCTGATCCTAATCCCACGACGTATCCTACAACCTTGAATACTGATATTTTGGGGTGATATTTCAGGACCACCTAAGGATGAAAGGATACTCTCACCATAAGGGATATTATACCCAGAGACATTTGTTTATGGATGAACTTGACGAGTGTTGATATGTCTGATTGTAAATAAACACAGGAGGAGTTACAAGACCTTATGAGTACGAGAGAATGTCAACAAAACAGCTGATTTCTACTACGACTCCTTATAATCAAAACAACATACGTGATTATGAATGAACTTGACTTGTTGTTCCAAATGTAAACAATAAATGGGACTTTCCCCGTTGCTTCATCAGCTGACGTGGATTAGGAATTCCTGTCAGTTGGTGAAATCTTATATGTTGTTGAGTCACTGTCGCGTCTGATATTATGATCAGTCAGGTGTACTCATCATCATCATCATCATCATCATCCTCATCATCACGTGACCATTATCATCATAGTAAAATACGTGAAAAATTACCAATAAAAAATGGAACAAATAAAATAAATAATGAAAAAAAGGGAATGAAAACAACACACAATAATAATAATAATAATAATAATAATAATAATAATAATAAACAAAAAAATCACGAAATCTAAAAAGGTTACAAAGAGAAAAGTTGCAAAGGTCAATAGACAGACAGACATACTATGAAGCGGCACAGGTAAAGGTCACAGGTGGGTACTTTACATTAAGCCAAGGATAACGAGGCCAGTTTTACCTGTGTTAGTACTGAGGTAAGGGAGAGGTGAGGAAGGGAGGGGTGAGGGAGGGAGGGGTGAGGGAGGGGGAAGTATGGGGGTAGTAGAAGCGGGTCATGAATGTAGGTTCCCAACACACCACACCACTACCTCCTCCTCCTCCTCTTCCTTCCTCCCACCATCTCTTCCCCCTCTTTTCTTTTCAGCCTCTTCCTCCACCCTTTTTTCCTCCCCTTTCCTTTTCCGCCTATACAGGAACTACCACCATCTCTACCAACACTACCCCCCCCCGACACACTTCACCACCACTACCACAATCACTACTACCACCATTACCACCACCACCACTACTACCATTACCACCACTACCAATCTGTATAGGAAGGAGTTTTCATTACGTTATAGTGACTCTTACTCCCACATACGATATATTGTACACTGTGTATGACCTCCCTGATCATTCTGTCTCCAGGTACCGGTCGTAGCACGTGTCAAAGGTGAGAGTTAAATTAGTAGTTAATCCGTTTGTTTACCTGTTAATTCGAGTGACATCTCAGGGGGCATTCTTTAGGGGTAGGAGACTGAAATTTACACCGTATTGACCAAATGCTTTAGTTAATAATTCTTTGATCTAGTTTTTGAGTCATATTTTGTTTATATTCTTGTTGTTATTATCAGGACAAGGAATAGTGCCAGTGTAATTTTATCTGCTAGTGCTTGTGTAAAGTCTCAGTGTAATTCTGATGCCATACTGAACGTTATTGCGGTGCTCCAGGTTATTTGAGACACAGGTAAACCCCGTTCTCTTACCTACCGTTACGAGAAGTTAAACACACGTGTACTCTCTAAGTCCTGGCAGGAAAGAAGCCATTACCTCAACACACACACACACACACACAGTTGTCCACCACCGGTACCTGGACTTACCTGGACACTTTTGGGTCACTGGGACACTTACTAATAATACAGCAACATTGACTCAGTCCCTCCCTCAGTCCTCAGGTAATGGCTCACTCGCGGTCATCCTTTTGTTGAGTTCACGTATTCGATTCCCCCTCCCGCCCCCACTCGTCCACCCTACTGTTAGTCAACGTTACCTGTGTGTATGTGTGTGTGTGTGTGTGTGTGTGTGTTACTGGTCATTCAGCTACAATTTCCTCATGCATTCGAGTTCCTCCACTGCCATGCACTGAAGTTGACCCCATCTTCCATGACTCCCCCCTCCCCCCAATCTTGCACGCAACAACAGGGTCTGGTCAGTCAGTCAACAGGAGGGGAAGGGGGGGAGCTGACCACATCCTATACGTTTAGGTTGGTGAGTCCGTCGGTTTAGAGAACTGAGACCACCGGCTGTTGAATCCCTGGTGAGAGCCGGACAAAAGCCGGACCTGTCTCTCTGCCGGGTTACGAGCGTCCACGCATTAGGAGTCCAGAGCCCAGCGATTGAGGGTGTCCATTTGCGGTTATTCATTATTTTTTCATACCGTTAACAAAACAGGTGTTATTTAGGAACATTCGTCTATACTAGAAGAAAAAAACATTGGATCACCTGAAGACTAGCCCCCAGCTTATTTCACCTGCAGACTAGCCCCCAGCTTATTTCACCCGAAGACTAGCCCCAGCTTATTTCACCTGAAGACTAGCCCCCAGCTTATTTCACCTGAAGACTAGCTCCACCATAGTTCACGTAAAGAATAGTCCCCAGCTTACTTCACCTGAAGACTAGCCCCAACCTTCACCTGAAGACTAGCCCCCCAGCTTGGCTGCCGAGGCTAGCCCCAACATTTCACCTGAAGACCCAACCCCCAACATTTCACCTGAAGACTAAACTCCACCCTGGTTCATCAAGAATGGTCCCAGCTTACTTCCACTAAAGATTCGTCCCCGCTTGTTTCTCGGCACCCAATAACTAATCCCGTATTCAGAGAGTTAAGCTATCGTACTCAAGGGGTTAAATTATCGTACTTAATGAGTTAAGTTACGGTAATCAGCAGGTTATTGGGGGGGGGGGGTGGACACTTAATCAACCCCGTCAAGGTAAGTGTCATCTCAAAGCCAGGGGACACACGGAGACCTCAGCTTCCGGGTCAGTAGGAGGAAGAGGAGATGTAACGATGGTGGTGGTGGAAGTGGTGCTGGTAGAGGAGCCTGGTGGGGTTGATGGTGGTAGCCTGGTAGTGCTGGTAGAGGAGCCTGGTGATGGTGGTAGTAGTGGTGGTGGTAGAGGTCATCAAGACAGACAGTGTAAGGGTGAGTATCAAGTGTTGGGAAGGGACGAGTTTTGTCTAAGACCTTGGTTCACTACCACCACCAGCGGGCTACCCTACCACCAGTACCATCACCACCCCTACAACCACCATCACCCCTACTCACTCAACCACCTGTGACCTCTCAACCCCCCCTCCCCCACCTCAGGTCAAGGCAAAGGTCACCACACACCCATCATAGCAACACGTCATTGTTATCATCTTCAGTAAACGTCACATACCACTCTAGTTCCTTCCCTCCCTCCGGTCAACAGGTCGTGAGAAACACAGCTGGCCCCGTGTCTCACTAGCCAGCAGAGAGAGATAGAGAGAGAGAGAGAGAGAGAAAGAGAGAGAGAGAGAGAGATACTGACGTCCTGCTTAACTTATTAGATGATCCGTCCAGCCCGACCGCCCACTCACCCACCTTTCTCCCTTCCGCCCAGCCCTCAGGTGTTCCCGTCTGTTCACCCCCCTCCCCACTCCCTTCCTTCTCCAGCCCCCTCTACCCTCTCCCTCCCTCTCTTCCTTTCGTCATCCCCCTGCCCTACTTCCTGCATAACTCTGTGCAATAATGAGGAAAAATAGTTGACTCGAGATGGAGGGTAGGGTAGAGTAAGCTAGGATACGGTAGGGTGTGTAATCTTCAGGTCATGCAAAAAAAGATCTAGCGCTGTGTGTGTGTGTGTGTGTGTGTGTGTGTGTGTGTGTGTGTGTGTGTGTGTTTGAAGGACTCGTCGTAAATGATCTAGTCTTCCTGCAGCGGCCGCGTCAACTACCACAGCATGGTAAAATGCTGACGCAGGTAATCTGTCCCCAGGCCTTGTACAGGTGAGAGAGATTCGTAATTAAGAAGACGGAGTTATGAATGAGTTGTTTATGAATGAGGTGATGTGTTTGTGTTGTGTGTGTGTGTGTGTGTGTGTGTGTATCCAATTATGAGGAAAAGTTCGACGTGGTAGGAACCCCTTATGTGTCCAGGACGTGGCTGACAGACGCGTGTTGTAAGGTGACCCCGCGTCCAAGGTCACTGTTACCAGAACCGGATTTAGAAAAATTACGTTGTTTTATCCATTCTCCTCCTACTCCAGGCAGCTTGAAACATCCGGCCACACTCCACCTCCTCCAGCCAGCTCTTAAAGGACAGCTTGACATATCCGGCCACTCTCTCCACTTCCATTAAACCCTAAAGGCCAAACTAACACATCAAGCAACACTCCGCCTTCAGCTCCATCCGGCCAGCTCTTTAAAGGCCAGCCTGAGACATCCGGCCACTGGGAGCATTTCTCCGCCAAGTCCCCCCCGGGGCAGAATCTGACTCGGGGCGGAAATACTTATCGAATTACGGCGTAAAAAACAACTAAATGTTCGATTTCCTTCTTCATTAAACTGGGGAGGCACACACACACACACACACACACACACACACACACACACACACACATCCTCCTCCTCCTCCTCCTCCTCCTCCTATCCTGCCGTCAACAAGCAAGACAGGACCAAAACACCGTCCCCTATCCTGCTGTCGACAAGGAACAAGACAGTAGCGAGGTACTTACGGAGTCTGACCATCTCGTCCTCGGTAAACTGGGAAGTGTCACTGTCCTCATTGAAGATATGGTAGTCGATGTTCTCACAGTAAGTTTCCACCGGTGACAGATACAAATCCACTGTCAACACAAAAAAAACAACATAAGTAACATTATTTTTTGGGGGTGATACATAAGATAAGTAACATTATTATTAGTACACAGGTAACACTAACGTCAAGGTTATTAAGTAACAGTAACATAAAAGACTGTAATAATTAAGTAACATTATTATAGAGTACAAAGGTATAAAAACAAGTAACATTAGTACAGTACACACACACACACACACACACACACATTTCCATACAACTCAAAAGACAAGAAATCGTGACGTGTGAAAGTGTACGTGTGTGTGTGTGTGTGTGTGTGTGTAACAAGGCCATACCACCACCACCACCACCACCACCACCACCATCACTATCCTCTACGGGTGGCAAAAGACAAAGTTTAATCCACCTGTATCCACGCCATCCACTCTCTTACATCCTTCTCTATCCACTACCTGTGTGTGATAACAAATGCTCTGTCTGTCTGTCTGTCACTGGGAGATAAAAGCAATTGTATGTATGAATGAGGATCGGATGAATGCTTGTGTCGTGAATGTCTAAACTGTTATCAACCGTCTCTCTCTCTCTCTCTCTGTCTATCTGTCTCTCTCTGTCTGTCTGTCTGTATGTGTCTGTCTATACTCAAGGTGGTTCAGACATGCATGAATAATTAAAAGACAGATTTCAAAACAGTCATGAGAAACTCCATCAAAATCTGAACATGAAAAAAGACAGATTTCAAGACGACAAATCATGATAAAATACAACTAAAATCGGAACATCAACACCGTGGGAAAGATCTCACAGTAATTATATCAAACTCATGCGAAAAATAAAAAATAAAATAAATAAAAATAAATCCTCCCAAAATCCCACGCTAAAAAGAGTCTTATTATTTCTCTCACGTCAAATATCTATTCAAGGATGACCTAAAACTGCCACTTGATGGAGTATTAAATCGTACTTGACTGGAAAAAAAACATCCTCAATAAAAAAACGAGAGAACACATCCATCAGTCAAGTCAGTATATCGTTTTATTATGATTTTTTTTTTATTGATTATGAAGAAGAAAATACTGACACGGTTTTACTTACTCACACACACACACACACACACACACACACACACACACACACACACACACACACACATGTAGGCCAGCGTCCCCTACCACACTCTTGACCTTAAAAAAATTCATCTAGTATGCAATCACGCACCACTGAGAGGCCGTCCATCATCCCAAGGGCTGACCACCACCACCACGCCCACAGTCCACGCCCACTCCGCCCGCCTACAACGTCCCACTCTCTCTCCCTACCTGCACCCCTCAACATCGCCCCCCCCCCCATAACTTTTCTGTTCTCCCCCTCCAACCTCCAGCAACAATACCTCTCTCCCTCCCTTGCTACAACACCACCTTCTCCTCCAACTTACAATCCCTCCCTCTCCTCCAACACTCCAACAACCTCCTCCTCCAACACATTATAAACACTCGCTTCTACGTGACAGGAAATAAAGAAAAAAAGGGTTTCCGACAGAGTATTTTATCATTCAATTTAGCCAGACTTAATAAGCTACTTCTGCCAAATTAAGCTACGTCTGCTAAATTATGCTACGTCTGCTAATTAAGCTACTTTCGCTAAATTAAGCTACGTCTGCTAATTAAGCTACTTTCGCTAAATTAAGCTACTTCTGCTAAATTAAGCTACGTCTGCTAATTAAGCTACGTCTGCTAATTAAGCTACGTCTGCTAATTAAGCTACGTCTGCTATATTGCCTCGTGGGAAAATAGCGGCTGGAAAGGATTAGACAGAGTTGATTGCTATTACATTCTTAATTTATTACACCGGTACACACACACACACACACACACACACACACACACACACACACACACACACACACACACATACACGAGTTGGGATTTAAGACACAGATTAATCAAGACTGTGTCCACTAGTTAGAACCCGTGTCACCAGGTGTGTTAACAGAGGTACCAGGTGGTGAGGGGTGAACCAGGAGACAGAACCAGCCTAGCATGACGGATGCCTCCACTATATCAGAGCCCATCCAACCCCCCCTCCATTACGCCTCTCCCCTGCCCCGCCTTACCGTCACCTCTCGTCACCCCCCACCGTCACTTCCTCATCACCCCCCAGACCACTACAAGTCACTAAGCCTCAGCACGTAACTTCCATTACACATGCCTTGGTACTACAGTTACGTACATAACCAACTTCATACGTATTATCAGAGAGAGGGCGATTTCAATAGGGAAATTTCAACGCCAGATAAAGAAAGTAATCTCAGATGAGTGAAACTTCTCATTTTTCACCATAAACTTGTATTTTATAAGTCTTCTTATTATTATTATTATTACTATTATTATCTACACTTCCACACGCACCTTTCCACTCACGCACTTCCGCACGCACCTTTCCACTCACGCACTTCCGCACGCACCCTTCCACTCACGCACTTCCGCACGCACCTTCAACGCTAATTAAACAACTTTACCCACAACATAACTTCCTTGAGTCAACAGCAATTAATGGAGAGGAAGAGGAGTGAGCTAATGAGTTGTGTTAATGAGTAAAGTAATTAGTTAAGAGTGATAATTAAGCCAGCGGGGGGGGAGGAGGAGGAAAAGGTGGTTACCGTTGAGAGAGAAACACAGCATGACGTAGACTGCTTCCTTACTTCTACACCTCCACCTCTCCTCTCCTTCTCTTCCTCTTCTCCTGTTCTCTATTCTGTTTTTGACGTGCATCTCTCTCTCTCTCTCTCTCTCTCTCTCTCTCTGCTTCGTCTTCATCTTCCTCCTTCCTTTTCTATTTCTCTTTTTTCTTCTTACATCTCCTCCCCCTCTTCTTCTCTTCTTCCTTACTTCTTTTTCCCTATTACTTAGTCTTCCTTCTCCTCTCACTCTTAGACCCACCACCTCCCTCCTTCCTTCCTTCCTTCCTTCCTTCCCTCCCTCTTCCTTCCTTCCTCCCCCCTCTTCCTTCCTTTTTTTCTCTTCCTGCCGTTGGGTTTTCCTGTCTCCCTCCTCCTTCTATCTTTACCATTCTTCCTTTCTCATTCTGTTGTTGGTGATGGTGGTGATGGTGGTGTGGTGGTGATGGTGGTGTGATGGTGGTGATGGTGGTGGTGATGGTGGTGGTGATGGTGGTGTGTGGTGGTGATGGTGGTGATGGTGGTGATGTGGTGGTGGTGATGGTGGTGGTGATGGTGGTGATGGTGGTGATGGTGGTGGTGATGGTGGTGATGATGATGGGAGGGAGGGAAGGAAGGTGATGAGGGGTGAGGAAGGGTAGGTGAGAGGTGTGGTAGGGGGGAAGAGGGAGAAGGGGGAGAGGTGGTGGGGTAGGGGGGAAGGGAGGGGGTGGTGAAGGCCGGGTCAGGGAGAAAGTCTGGAGGTCAGGGCTTGAGTGTTGGCCTCCAGGTCACCATCACCATTATCATCACCATCATCACCATTCTTGTCATCACCATCACTATCACCACCATCGTTATCATCATCATCAATAATTACCATCATCACTATTCTTGTCATTATTATCATCACACATCACCACCTACACACCTTCACCACCAGTCACTATCATCATCACACACACCATACATTAAAGATGGTGTGAATACAATGCTAAGCCTGTGGTAAAATTGCCCATTAAGGTCATCATCACTGTTCACTTCCCATCATTATCGACTTTAATGGTGAAGAAAACGGAAAGTGTGTGTGTGTGTGTGTGTGTGTGTGTGTGTGTGTGTGTGCGTGTGTGTGTGTGTGTGTGCAAGATGGAAGTGTTGCAAGCTGACAATCAATCAGTACTTTCACCGTTATTCACTACGATTAGAGAGAGAGAGAGAGAGAGAGAGAGAGATATACAGTAATCTTATAAACAAACCCCGGGGGAAGGTGGATCCTCATGCCACTGAATATTTAATATGGTGGAGTCGAGTCTATTCATCTCTCTCACACACACACACACACACGTACTCGCTCTTCCCACGCATGCACCCCGCTGTCTACACACACACATGCACCAGTCATGATACGCATGCACACACACACGCACGCAATCTTTCTCAATACAGTATATACACACACACACACACACCAGCGTAAAATTCGGCTGCATCACACGAATATTGCCTTATGGATCCTATCGCCATCTTCTCACGACTTATCTTGTCCATAATGACGTAGTTTATGAGCGTTAAAATCATTATATGACGCTGTGGCCTGAGTAGTGCGAACTGGACATGTGAAGAAGAGGAAGGAGGAGGAGGGGGAGAGGGAAGAGGAGGAAGGGAAGAGGAGGAAGGGAAGAGGAAGAGGAGGCATGGGCACGGTAACAATCTCTTACAAAATCCATCTTGGGGGGAAATTCCTGATATCTCAACCTCCTCTTCCCTCTATCATCACCCCCCCCCTCCCCCCTCTCTCTCTCTCTTGACACCTTGACCACTCACCTTCTCTGACAGCCCATATATCCTCATCCTCCTCCTACGCCCACTTCCTCTACCGCCCACAACACCTTGACCACCCACCCACATCTTGACTTCACCCATCTCTTCTGTCCTCTCCTCTCCTTATCTCCTTCTCCTTCCCCTCCTACCTCTTCATCCCCCTTCTTCTATTCCCCTCCTCATCCTCCTTCTTACTTAAGCAGTTCGTCACTTGTTCACCATTTCACCTGCTTATTACTCCACCTGTTCATCACCTCACCCACCGCTGTATCAACTAGCCGGACCAAAACAAACAACTTACCTTCCACGTACAGTTAGAGGAGAGGGGGTGGAGGAGAGGTTAGGGAGGAGGGAGGGAGGGGGAGGAGATTAGGAGGAGGGGGTGGGAGAGGAGGGTTAGGGAGGGGGAGGGGTGGAGAGGGAGAGGATGGGAGGAGAGGGGTGGGAGAGGAGAGGTTAGGAGGGAGGGGAGGAGGGTGGTCACGAGAGAGAGAAACAATGCATTAACTCAACACAGATATAATTTAAACTAACGACACCTGTATCAATCTACC